ACTGCACTGATTCCAGGGGGTGAGCCTCCCCTCTCCATGGCCTTGCCCAGTTGCACCAGCTCGACGGCCGACCCTCCCCTCTCCACGGCCTCCCCCGGCTGCACCAGCTCCAGGGGGTAAGCCTCCCCTCTCCATGGCCTCACTTGGCTGCACTGCCTCCATGGCTGACCCTCCCCTCTCCACGGCCTTACCCAGTTGCACCAGCTCCACGGCCGACCCTCCCCTCTCCACGGTCTCGTCCGGCTGCACCAGCTCCAGGGGGTGAGCCTCCCCTCCCACGTCCCCTGTCCCACACTGGGCCATCCCCCCGGGCTCCCACCTTGAACTCCAGCTCCATGCCCGTGACGTGCTCGCCGGTCTCCACCTGGGCCAGCTTCTGAATGTAAGAGTAAAGGTTGCGGGCGGGGACCTCGGTGTTGCCACAGGCAACGGCTTCCAGAAGGGCGTCGTGGATGAAGCTGTACTGGTCCTCGGTCTGGACCATGTAGTTGCGCTGGGAGCGCATGAGGGTCACGTGCCCATAGATGTCCACGGTCTTCTCGGGCTTGATGCGCTCCAGCATGGCGTCGATGACGATGAAGCAGCCGGTCCGACCCACGCCCGCGCTGCGGAGAGGGAGAGCAGACGCTTGGGGGCTGGACCCGACGAGCTCATCCTGGGACGCCAGCTCCCGTCGCTCTGACACCCAGCGGTTTACCAAGGGCCGTCCCCCGCAACGACCAGGCAGGGCAGGCAGTGGGTGTGTGTATGGATCGTCCTCCTTTCAGGGAGGTGAGGCAGGGAAGCAGGTGTCAGTGCTGGGGGTCCCTACCCGGACGCCCTAAACCCTGCTGGTCCTCAGGGATCCCTTCTGTCTCTGGGCTGGAGGCTACTCCCTTGTTCTTCGGAGAGGGGGTGGGGAAAGGGACCTCTGTGCGGTCACATAGCCTGTCAGCAGCCGATCCTAACAGTAGAAAGTAAAGCTACAAACAGGTGACTTGCCCAGGGGCCGGGCTTGGATGCCAGCACCAAGGCTGGGGGGAGGTCGGGGGTCACTGTACCTGCAATGAACCACAATGGGGCCTGCATCTGGAGGGTTGCACGTCTTCACTCTTCTCAAGAAAGCCAGGAAGGGTGTTGGGTACTCAGGGACGCCATGGTCTGGCCACGCTGTGAACTGGAACTGGCGTACTTCACGCTTCTCACTGGAACCATTCTGTGGAGACAAGGGGCAGGCTAGTGGGCAGATGACCCCACGGATGGTGGCCCTCAGAAACTCCATCTTTTCTTAATGTATCCTATGTACCGCTTCCTAACAGATGGCTCTGGCCTCATCACTCCCCTACTCTAAAACCTCAGATAGCTCCCTGCTACCTTGAGAGAAAGTCCATATTACTCTGCCTAGACATCTCTTTCCTCTCTCTCTAACCTTTCCCCCAACCCCCTCCCATGTCTACATCTGTGGCTTCCAGGGCTCCTCCCGGTCCTCCCCCCACATCCCTCAATACCAGTCCTGTCCACTTTAGCACCTTTGACGAAGCTACTGACTCTTCTGTAATTCCCTCCCCTCTCTCCCATGTGTATTTGGGACCACGAAAGGCAGTCTGCAGAGGGGTGTTGGTATATTTTTAGGGGCCAGGGCAGGACCACTCTTGCTTGGTAACTTTGAGGGCTTTGCAAACTGAATGTGAACAGTGAGCTCCTGTCTTATTCTTTTCAGTGATGGATGGGGGTATCTCTCCTTCCCCACATGCTGCCTCTTAAATCCCTGCCCAGCTACAGTAGACAAGGATGGCTCTGGGCCTGGTCTCCATGAGAGAGAGGGTGGGCAGGGCCTAAAGTATCTCCCCTCCTGCCTCCTCTGGGCCTGCCAAGTTGGCACTTTTCATGCTCAAAAGCATAATGGCAGGCCTGGCTCCTCCAGGGACTGATCCCCATCCTGAGCAAGGAAGCTGCCTTCTCTTCCACAACACGTGAAGCTGACCTCCCCAGGCAGGCTGGGGGTGCCTCTGAGGGCAGGGCCGAGGCTCCGGCGTCCCCAACCCCACCAGAGACACACGACTGCGAGGGATGAGGGTGGAGGCTGGCTGGGTGCAGAGGCCAGGACTCCAGGCTGAGAGGTGCAGGGACACCGCAGAACCTCAGGGGTTGGGAGAACCCTCCCAGGACATCCGGTGCAAGCACAAACATCTTCCACAGGGTCCCCAACAAGCCTCCCTCAGACTCTCCCTGAATCCCTCTCTCCCGAGGCCACCCTTTCCCTGTCTCCAAGCATGGCCCTCAGTCTGCCTCACCCCTCAGGGCCGGAAGCAGGGGGAGAGGCAGGAGGAGGCACCTTGTGCAGGGAGAAGGTCCGGACGCAGAACGTTGCCAGCTCGATCGTGTCCAGCAGGGTAACCTGGATCACACCATAGGTCTCTGTGCCCCGGCCAGGCCAGTATTGGTCACACTTGATCTGGGGTGTGGGAGCAGGGAGGGAAGGCCAGAGTCAGTGTCATGGCTAAGGAACTGTGGGTGTCGCCGCCCCACTCCCACCAGGGGCATCAGCTCCAGAGGCCCCGGGGAGTTCATTCCATCCTCCTCCGGAGGATGGGGCCTGGGTTGGGACCCCGGGGTATTGCCACGGCAACTCTTCCAGCCTGCCAGTGATGATGCCAGCTATTGGAGCCTGAGTTGGGGAAGGTGGCTCCCCTTGGCATGAGGCCAGTACTTGGCAGGGGGCAGCATCTGCTAATAACAACAGCCAACAATGTTACGGTGCTTTCAAATTTGCAAAGGGTTTGTATTATCTCATTTTAGCTGAAACAACATTTCTGGGAGAAGATAGAAGAAAACAGAGGTTCCAAGAGGTTAGGTGACTTGACAAAGGTCACATGGCTAGTAAACATTAAGGGGTAGAATCTGAACCCAGGTACCTGCGATCTGCAAACTTTCCACATGACATGGTGAAATGTTTCATTCTTTTGGGGTTAGCAGACGATTCTTCCTGTCGTTTGCTTCTTTATTTATTACAAATTAAATTACGAGCCCTTCAATTTCACACTTTTTTGCATTTCCAGGAGGGGCCTACACCCAGTGGGTGGGAAATGATGATGATGATGATGGGAAGGGGTGTGATCAGAAACCAAGGTATGCTTAGTGCTGGGCTAGGAACATACCGTATTACTCCAGCAGAATGCAAGCTGCCTGAGGGCAGCGACTGTCTTATTTCTGTCTTTCTAACCCACTGCCTGAACGAGCAGCTGGTACATTAAATTTGCTGGGCTGAACTGAATTTAGAGTAAGGAGATCTGGGTTCAAGTCCTGGCCCTGACAATCAGGAACTGTGTGACTTTGGTCAAGTCACAGCCATGCTGAGTGACTCAGATTCCCCCTCTGTAAAAGAAGACAATTTCGTTCTCCCTCCTCTGTTCCCTGGGCAGCTAGGGGTTCTCTCGTCCAGCCTGGCCCTTCCTTACCCGTGACTTCTCCTCCAGCTTGGTCATCATGACCACAGTGGCAGAGCGCTGCTCCCACACCATGCGCCAGAAGTCGCCAAAGGTCTCAGGTAGGGGCCCCTGCGTGGCGATATACGCGTTTTGCTTTCGGTAACCGTCTATGTAGTTGGCGTTGATGTAATCGCTGCCCACGATGCCTGGGTTGGAGAGAATGAGGGCATTCTGAGGAGCTGCAAGGCCCATCTCCAGGCAGGGGACTCCAAAGCGAAGGCATCCCTTGGGGATGGAACCATGAGGGTCCTCCTTTGGGGGATGTGGGGCTGGGCTGGGGTCGTCCTTCAGCAGGGGCAGTTAGGGCTGACCCTGTGCAGAGCCTGGGATGACCCCTGGTTCTAAAGGCAATTCTCTCCCCACGCCCCTTCTCTCCCATGTGTACCTAGGACCACGAAAGGCAGTCTGCAGAGGGGTGCTGGCATATTTTGGGGGCCAGGGCAGGACCACTCTTGCTTGGCAACTTTGGGGGCTTTGCAGGCTGAATGTGAGCAGTGAGCCCCTGTCTTATTCCTTTCAGTGATGGATAGGGGTATCTCTCCTTTTCCCCATACGCTGCCTCTTAAATCCCAGCCCAACTACAGTGGACACGGATGGCTCTGGGCCTGGTCTGTCCCTCAGGGGTGATTTGGGGGAGAGGGTGGACAGGACCTAAAGTATCTCCCCTCCTGCCTTGTCTGGGCCTTCCATGCTGGCTTTTTCCACGCCCAGTGCCCTCAGCTTCTTCCCTCTGCGGCCTCACCTTCCAGACTCCAGAAGGAGCAGGCAGGCCGCCTTCCCTCTCCCTGGACCACCTCTGACTGCCCCAGTCCTGCTCCTCTACCCTTGGCTCTCCCTGTCACTGAGGGCCTGAGCACACATGCACACCCTCAGGACAGTGGTCATCCAAGAGTCCTGTCTCACTAGTCCCGGAGACTCCTCAAGGGAAGGGCCTGAGCTACTCTGCCCCCACCACCTCGCCCACTGCCCAGGCAGGCCCCAGGCTGGGGGTCACGGGGGCTTTGGTGAGCTCTTAGCGCGTGGTTGATAAATGCTCAACTAAAGGAGAGACGGCCACTGAGCTCCTATCAGCTCTGTGGTGCTGCTGCCTGCAAGACACACTGGGGAGAAGAGCCCCAGAATCATGAGGCTAGGACGGAGTCATCACAGATGATCTCGCCTAACCCCAACCTGAGCAGGGATCCCCTCATCCAGCCTCTGCTTGCAGACTCCCAGTGATGGGGGGCTCATCACTTCCTGAGGTAGCCCATTCCAGTAGGGGTCAATTAAGACTTAGAGACCAGACTATTAGCCACCCACGGGACTGTTTTCTCTTTTGTCCATCTCTCTTTTTTAGAGGAATTCTGGTTTATGGAGAGTAGGTTAAACTCTCACTAGAGCTGGAGTGTGACCGAGACCTGATTTTCACTATCTGGGGGAAAAAGTCCAGGGTTGGGAATCAGGGGCCAAGTTCCAGTCCTGGCTCAGCCAATGACGCAGGGACAGATCTCTTAACCTCTCTTGGCCTTAGCTTTCCTACCTGAGAAGTGGGGCTGCTAATCCCTTGGGAGTTCAGATAAGAGGTCCTCTTACCTTCCATGGGGAGAAGGATGACCCGGGAGTGGTCGTAGGCTATGACATTGGCATAACGATTCTTCGGTTTATTCACCTCCAGGTTAGAGTGTTCCCAGGTGAACTGCTGTCCAGGGTCAATGGACTGCAGGATGAGAAAAAGACAGAGACAGGGGAGAAAGGGAGATCCAGAATGGCGGGGGAGAATAGTG